TTTCTGAGATCATTCTGGAATTGACTGAGATATGTTGACATCTTAAGAGTCACTTTCAATATTGCATGAAATTTAGTAACTTTTCCTGTTTGCTCATAAAACAGATGTCACTGTCATTACTTAAGTGAGTGTTTTGTTTTCCGAACAAGACTTGATGAAAATAACTGCCAAATATTATGCATCATCGCTATCCATGGCACACATGACAAGACAAAAGTATATGAATTATGATCCAGTATTTTCTTCAGTAATATTCAATTTATGTCCATATTTTCAATCAAATCGCAAAAAAAATGTTAGATTTTGTGGATTTTTACATTTGCCATGGATTTTCATCAAGTAACGGCCGAGTCAATTCAAAAAAACGTAAGATTCGTCAAAAAATCCTGTTTTTGCAAAGTGCTTGTCAAAAAATGGTTGCCATTTGAAAAATAATAGTTAGATACGAAAATGTAATTTTGCCAACTTGTCTTCATATTATTTACTAAAACTTCGCGATCGTAGTTTTCTGACATTACCTGAGGTCCTTAGCTGAGTTTACGTATGATCATGGCAACCTAGATGGAATATTAAAAGCGACTCTAATCAAATGAAGTAGGCGTTGAAACTTTTGAAAATGCCTCATTCTGATCAAGAATTGTCTCAGGAATCCAAGAATGTTACAATATACAGGGTGCTCCATTTAAAAATCAAAACTGGAGCCAGTTCCGGTGAAACCATACCATTTACAAATACCAAATCTCATTCTGGTACACCTATTATTCTAGTAGTTATGACTTGTCCTATAGCCTCGTTGACACCCGGTATGTATGTAGGTACTTTCCCCTTTCTATTCAACCAATTTGGTGATAAAATGACGGAAATCAAACTGAATATCTGATTCACAAGTGCCTTGAAGTAGATGTTATAACAATTTGCCCATACTTCACTGAAATGACAATACCTCAATTCCTATACTATTCAGGGTGTGAATAAAAAATCTTGGAATAATTCGCAAATATTTCTTCTCTCTCTTCCCAAAAATCATCATCACCCATTATAGTATCAACAAAAATATTATTTTTCTGCAACCAACACAAAAGTCGTCCATTTTGATTCCAAAATCAGCTCTGGAATCGACGTTTCTATTACTGACACAAACATAGGTATGTTGCTAGGCAACAACAAGGATGTACTAGCATCGTCCACCAATATTCTAATATTGGTGGACGATGGTACTAGGTCATCAAGAATAAACATCATTGTTACGGCTGGTTATTTGGGTTGAGACGCATACCTGATTTTTTTCCGATTCCAGCAGATTTGGCATCTCATACCCATGCTGGAGATATAAATACACCATATGGTTAAGTATTTTTGTTTTGATCAGGAAGGCTGCAATATACCTTTTTGCCTCACACAACGATATTATTGATCACCTTCATTTGATTACCGAGCCAAACACAGTGGAATATGGAGAGAAATGAATGATCGCTATTATTATTGTTGATATGTTCACTAGCATAACATGTTCCACTTCTATTTCTTACCTGGCACTGGCGCCAGGTAAGAAATAGAATTATTTGCTATTAGAGATGGCACCTGGTCCAAATGAATTCATCGATATGACGTCAATATGGAATACAAAATAGGTCACTCTGTGATTGTATTTATTACCTAATCTGTGAATGCAGGTAGAATATTCTCACCACACCGATTATTTGTTGCATTGTATACATATATGGCACGGCATCCACTTTTCTGGTGGTATTGAATTCGTGCTTGTAGTCTCTGATGACATGATGCATTTCAACACAAATTGTAACAAAGTAAAGTAGTCTGAGGTCTTGCTTCTATCTACTTACTCATATTATTATAATAATCTCAAGTGAGCCACATTGGTGGTTACTCCACTTATATTTAATTTAGTTAATTCTTTCGGTTGCAGTGAAAATAACATGTTCCATTCGGATCAAAAGGGACTTTGTTCGACTCGCAAATTTTGATTTCGTCAAACAAAGTGTCACTTTTGATCCTAATGAAACATCTACTATCATTTTCCCTCCTGATTCATTCGCTGTATACCTACTAATTTTCAATAACATATCTCCAATTTTCTCTCCTGTTTGGAAAAACACTTTTCGCATTTTATTTCTGTTTCTATACGCCAGGAAGCGGCTATACAGCCGGTCAGTCTTCCAACATATTTTTATGATATCCGAAATGACAGTGTTGTGTATTATTGGTTTAAGATTTTTTTATTAGATTAGCGACCCTCTAGCCTGTTCTCCTCGCGTCACGAGTAATTACGAGTTCTGCGCTCGTTGATTGGACGTAACTTGATTAGTGGCCGAACTGTGGCAGTGCAAACAAGGGTCAGGATCATTCGGCTTTTCTAATCTTATGATTTAAATCATTTTTTATTCAATTCCATTGTCAACCCATTGTTTTCTCTAGTTGAAAGGGAGATCAATTGGATTTGGAACGAATATTTACAAATGAGTGCGCAATAACTGAGTCCTGAAATCACAGATCTGCTAGTGGTAAGCTCCGAAACAAACAACGAAATTCACGTTGCCGATACTGATGAGATGTGTCATTTTGAGAATAGATCAAAAATCCTTCTCGACAGTGGTGAACTCTATTGAGGTCAAGATGATCGTTAAGTAAAATGGCAGAATTTTTGAGTTTGTTGATTTCTAATGATTCAAAATGATTAAGTTTCATTCCTTTAATTTTAATGTAGATGTTGTGGCTAATTTCCTAAAATGAAGGTTTATCGAACCTGTCCACAGGTACCTAATCCTTCAGGTTGGGAAAAAAGGATATATGTACTAGGGCTGCGTGATATTGGATTTCAGTTATCGGTTATCGATAAGTTGAAATTTATCGATAAGTTCGATATATCGATATATCGATATTTATCGATATATCGATATTTATCGATATTTATCGATATTTATCGATATATCGATAGTTATCGATATATCGATATTTAAAAACTTAAATATCGTTATTCGATATATCGATATATTTATCGATATATCGATATTTTTTCCCAGCCCTAATATGTACAAAAGTTAGGCAAGCCAAGGTTAGTTTACTTCATTGTATACCAGTATATCACCTGATGAAGCTACTGTGTTAGCCAACCATGTCGTGTGTTTGAGAATTTTGTGGAAATCTTATCGTTTGTGAAGTAACGGCCGAGTCAATAAAAAAAAAAGTTAATTTGATCTTCACCAGCCCATACAAGACAAAGTGATTCTGAGATATTCTTAGAATATTCCAGTGGAAAATCTCGAATATCCTCAGAATGTTCTCACAAGGTGCACTGAACGTTCTAAGAATATCCTAGGAACATGCAACCCAGCGAGCACAAACATCCCTGGGATGTTTTGGGATGTTTTGAAAATGTTGGCATGAAGATGTTATTTTGAGACGTAATATGCACTGACCAAAGAGGTCTTTGAAGGATATTGAAGTATTGTATTCGTTCTTCTGTGGCATTTCTTTGTTTGCCTACTGAACATGAATCGAATGCCATACACGGATCATGGATGCTTCACGAATAAAACGAGGTGTGAATAGTAGATTGTTTTATTAGGATCAAAAGTCACTTTTGATCCGAATGAAACATGCTATTTTTTCTGCAACTGAAACAATTAACTCAAAAAAATATGTGAAGTAAACACCAATGCCGTGCGATATGTATGCGCAATGCAAATAATCCGTGTGGTGAGAATATTCTACCTGCATTAACAGCAGGTTTATTCAATTTTCAAGGATGTTCGAATTGTAGTTTCAATATAAATACAACCACAGGGTGACATATTTGTGTATGGACCAGGTGCTCTAATGGTAATAACTGCGCTAGTGCTAGGTATAGGAACAAGACGTGGAAAATGTTAGGTTAGTGAGTATATCAACAATAATGATAGCAATTATTTATTCCTCTCCATACTCCACTGTGTTTGGCTTGATAATCAAATGGAGGTATTGGCCGTGATTATTCAAAAACAAGTTATTCATCCCGAGAATAACGAATAAAATACAGATCAAGCAAGTATGTGAATCTTGAAAGCTTCTCCTGATCAGAACAAAAATACTTAACTATAATAAGGTGTATCTATATCTCCAGCATGGGTATGAAATACCAAAATTGCCGAAACAAATCAGATATGCGTCCCAACCCAAATAAATAACCCTAACAATGTTGTTTATTCTTGATGACCTCTAGTACATCCTTTTGAGTTCCTAGGAGCTGAAGTTCAACTTTAGGTCCTAGGAAGTATATGTGTTGCCTAGCAACATACCTATTTTTGTGTCAGTAATAGAAATGTCAATTCAGGAGCTTATTTTGGTATTAAAATGGACGAATTTTGTATCGGTTGCAAATTCATTTTCAGCGCCCCAATAGTGTGCATGGAAAAAAATTTGTAATTGGAGGAAATTGCGGTAAATTTGAATTCACGTTAAACCTCGCATTTGCTACCGCAGATGAGCATGACAATTTTTATCAGAATCAGCGAAAATTATTTTGAATAATCAATAAAAAATCGATTTTTATTGACAAATTTGACTCCCTCTATCTCAAAAACGAAGCAAGTTAGGACATAAAACATTCATAGAATGTAATGGAATATTCTAGGGAAGTTCCTAGGATATTTAGATGAAATGGTCTATAAATATTTTCGAAATAATTCTATGACCGTCCAGAACATCCTGATCATATTCTATAAATATTCTTTGGAATATTCTGAAGAATATTATGTGCTGTCTGGGAGTATATGGCTCTACATTGTCAAATAATTTGTTTTTCTCACAATTTTTTGAGCAATGATTCTCATCTTGAAACATTCAATTTTTATTCTGTGTCCAGGCAGAGAGAGAAAAAACATCTCCCTATTCCACTGTCTCATTCTTTACAATTCATGAAATAAAAATCTTCTTACAATTTTATTTACAAAATCCTAATATGATATACATATTAAACAGTAACGATAAAATAATGAACATAAAAACGTCAGTCTTGATAACCAGATTTAAATTTATTTGGGTACGATTCATTGGAAAATTAGTATTATTCGTTCATAGTTATCCACTCGTTCTGTAAAGCCATAGATGCTGATAGGCGTAGAGCAGGATCTGGTTCAATAAGGCTTTCTAGGAATCCCGCAAATGGGATCGCATCCACCCTTTTCCATCTGTATTTCTCAACAAGGACATCTTCTATTCTCCAAATACGCAACAATGTTTTGTCTACGCCAAGCAATTCACCTAAAATGAAGTAATATGATGAATAACCATACTTCAGTGACTCAATAGCCTCAAAAATGATTGCTAATTGGTCTAATTTGATGATATTAAATGAGGAGCGGAAATGCAAAAGCCGATAAATATCCGCTTTCAACATTTTTCCAGCAATGTATCGATTCTCACTAATTTTGGTGCGCTCTCGCCATCTAGGCCATCAGATTCGAGCAAAACCCGATAATTCACATACAAATCTTTATCTGAAATAGACTCATCCATCCCATCCATCGAGAAAATGCCGATAAATTCGCACGTGTTCGCACGTCCATGATTCTTGGAGTGGAAGAAATTCAGTCTTATTTCTGTCAGTTTTTGGTGCGGTAGGTTATTCCGTTTGTGGTCAATACGATTACTACTGTTTTGTGGCTGGTGTATCGGAAATCATTTCAGAAAGTAGAAAAAGGAAGCGAAAAGAGTCAAGAAGGCAAGAAAAAAAGAGACAAAGGTAATCAATATGAAAAATAATGAAATTATGAAGTATTCATTTTTCAGTTGTTATTACAGATATCATGATGATGATCCTGATTGTTATTACTCCAGGAGGATTTGCAATCATAAGGAGCCTACTGTGAATGGATTGTGGTTCACGATATCCATGAGATCAGAAATAAAATATTTCAGAAGAATATGAAAACTGAGCAAGATATTGAACTGTAACATTTCATGTCCTAGTAGAAGAGTTGTCCAAAAAAATTCTAAATGACTAATATTGCGATCTCAATATTTAGGGTTAATGGCTGATGACCTACAAGTACCTGAATTCAGTTTAAATACTATCCAATTGATCTTGGGATCTCATCAATTACTTAAAGTGGTTTTATCGGTTTTTGCATTTTTCTTCCTCGAATATAGTACATACCATTCCCGAAATAGTGTCGAGAGTTTGCCCCCTTTTCCGTTATATACTGTGGAATTCCATCTAGCGTTTCCCAAATGAGACACAAATGATCCAAATTAGCCGATGATTCCCTGTCACCTTTGGGACTGAACAACATCTCGCCGGTAGCCATTTCGAATGCCATACAGCCCACAGACCAGATGTCTGCTGGGAAGCTGTACCCGGATCCTAAGATCACTTCGAGGGCTCGGTATTGCCTTGTCTGGATCTCGGATGAAAAATGATGTTCCTGTAGGAGATCATAGTCCAGAGTTAACCGTCAATTTAAGATACTTTGATATCAAATCTATGCCATAAGAATAAATCATAACCATATAACCAGTAGGTAAGTACGCGGAGTACGCCAAGTGACGCCAGTATTTATAGCAGTATGAAGGTAAGATCTATTGAAATTCGTCAGGCTTCGGAAGCATCTCTCTTGTGTTTTTTTTTTCATTTCGTATTTCTATTATGGATACTTTATTACTTACAGAAATGCCACGATTTGCAATTTTACAGGGTGGAAAAACGGGAGCTTAGATAGCTCGAAAATATTTTTCACATAGCCGAACGAACCTATAGGTACGTATTTATGGACTATCTTCGGAATTACAGAAGTAAAAAAAATGAGAGTAGAAACGAAAATATCAAATCATAGGTTATAGGTACTCATGATCGATGTATTTATATAGGTATTATTCAATAATATAATTTTTCGACAAATATGAGCTGAAATAGTTTGGTCTACTCTCTTTATTGATAACTGATCTCAAAGAAGATTATTTACTTCCATATATACAGTCCTTTCATAAGGAGTAGAGCTTTCATAGCATTATTATAAAATAATTTTATTCATTAAAATTCTCAATATTCCAAATCCAAGGATAATCCAAAGTTATTTGTATGGCTGTAAGTTAGGTTGGATTCAACATTATTGTTCTCTTGCTTATATAGTCTAACTATAGGTGGTTATATGAATAAATTAACTATAGATAGTTATATGAATTATCAAATATCAAACAATGTAGTAGCCTGTAGTACCTACTTATAATTCGAATAAAAGCTTACAAAAAAGGCCACCCGTATTTTTACAATAAAATATTGTTATATCTTTAAAAATTCATAGCGTTCTGCAATTAATTTCTCGATTGTGCTTGAGTTAAACTAACACCTAACCACCTGCAGACTAGTTTCGGACTATTTGCCATGTTGCCATCAGTGCAAAGCAGTCACCAGACAGAGATTAGAAGACCTCTGATAACTGTCGAAATATAAAAGCCTACTTTACATATATATTATGTAATACGTTTAAGATGGTAGGAGTATAGGGGGAACTATTTTAAGCAAACTAGGAAGGAATTATTGGATATGGCCCTCAGAAAGAGTTAACCGCAAACACGTGTTTCGGCAAGATAGGCAACACTTCTTGGAAGAAACAACAAATCGACGGAGTCAACAAACAGAAGCCAGCCTCAGTGGTGAAGTTAGCTGTAGCCCTGAAAATGCAGGTTCTGCTGACCGGAACCACAATTGTGCGTCTGGCTTCCGTTTGTTGACTCCGTCTATTTGTTTTTTCGTCTTCCACCAAGTCTTTTGCACTCTTTTCACCGTACTGATGAGGGCCGAAAGCCCGAATCACGTGTCTGCGATTAACTCTTTCTGAGGGATATGTCCAATAATCTCTTCCTAGTTATGTAATAGGTTATCATTATAAAGTTAAAACCAAGTTGATGTTTCATTTGGGTTCCTGTACTTGTTGAATGGTTATCTTTGATGAAAATTTCTCATTAGTATCATTGCAATGAGACGACTTTTAAGATGCTTCTCCCTATTCACCCCCCGCAGTTATTCGAGCCACATGGAATTCTACCAAAGAGTGAGTAATTCAACATTTACCTCCCAACAGGCATTGCCCAAATCTGCAATTTTTATCTCAATATTTGGACTGATCCACATTGGGGCATTAAGGCGGGGTTCAGTATGTCTTTTCCTGAAATCAGTCAGTTCTCCTAAAAATTTATCATAAGGATAAGATTGTCCTCTCTGTCCTTCGAACCTCGAAAGGATATCCTCGTCAGAGTCTGCTAACTCTCTGTTTTGGTCTGTCCAGCAATCGGAAGCAACTGAAAAATAAATTCAATAAGCACCAAAGTAGGACCTACCTAATTTGATACGAAGAACATTAGTAGTAGTATAGAGTCTGATTATATTGATCGATTTATTCAGCAGAATGACCAGTTCCAGTGACGTTTGTCCTTGTCAATTGTAATTCTAATAACAATCTGCAAGATGATTCATCATGTTCAGCTGTTTCTAGTTTCTAGCATTGAAATATTCATACATTGTATGAGTCCAACATTATATCTATGAATTATTCTAGGGTTTTTCGAATGTTTTCACTTCAGATATCATATATAATTCGAAACTTTTCCTGGTACGTTTCAATCAAATTTCCTACTATAGACTTAGCAAAGGCGAATGAAAATTAATAAATAAATGAAACAACTCCAGCATAAAACTTACGCCGCGCGCTGTCGGTCCGTTCGAAGTTCAAACGGACCGGCTTCACGTGGCGGACATTCCTTGCTCGAGGCATAAATACTATGATACTCTATATCTTGTTATTATCTTGTGCTGGGAGATTAAAACCATACATACATTAACAGGTTGTTAGTGAATAAGTGCGACAAACTCTAGGGGGCGATTCCTTGTGATATTTTAGAAAATAAAGTTCATTATATTAATATATAATATGTGTCCTAAATTGCTTCAATTTTGGAATACAGGATGTTGGGGTTGGGGGTATTCTTTGTTTTTATCTATACCCTATACCCTTCTGTATGAGCTTTCATAGTGCAAGAATTCAATATGGTTGGAGACTGACAAAGTCCGAAACTCTCAAAATTATTCTTATGGAGTTTATTGAGTAAACTCAATGAGTGACTTGAAAGCACTATATTAAAATTTTGCGTCAAAGGAAGTTGTTCAAGCTAATAAAAATATGGAATTCAGTGGCGTACAATGATATTCACCATAAATATCGATAAAACCGCTGTTGCGCCACTGGAAATATTATTTTGAATCAAATCACAACAAAAGGAGCTCCATATGTAAATATCAACAAATTCGCCAAGTTTCATTGAAGTTCATAAAAAAAACATTCGAGTAATGAATGAAAAAACGATTTTTTATGGAAAAATTATACCCTGTATCTCAAAATGAAGCAAGTAAGGACACATGTTTATGTGGCCTCTATTTTGCCACTAAATCAGACTGTCAACTCTCGAAAAAGTCTCAGGTTGTCTTCCAAGGAAAGTTCGAACGAAGGTTTTCCCACCATCGAATCCATGTCGAAAAAAGTGGACAGGACGATGAAATAAAAAGCGGCGTACGCAATTGTTCTATCAAAACGTTCTACGAAAAAAATGAGGAATAGTGGAATACATAATGTTGGTCGTCGTATCGATATTTTTATATTTATATTGTTCAATTTTACTTTTATTTCGATTATTAAATATGGATTCAGGCACTGATCTGTCTAAAATATCACAAGGAATCACCATCTGAAGTTTGTCGCACTTATTCACTAACACCTTGAGGTATATTATGAAAGACACTATATACATATTTGATTTCATTTATTGTTTCATAAGCTTACCATAAGAACGTGGCATGTCAAGGCCCAACTCGGCAAATTTTTCAGTTTTTCCAATAATACTCCTTATGTAATTTTCATCTACTTTGATCAGTATATTCTCTGGTTTTATGTCGGTATGAATTATTCGACAAGCTTCGTGGAGGTAAGTCAAACCTTTTAGAACCTGTGAAAAAAATCATGTCTTCTGAACTAACTTGAAAATGCCGGATACTGCATGGCGATCTGTCATGCTATCGCCATCTAGTGGCGTTAGTTTAGTTCTGAGGTAGGGTCTTCCAACACGTCATACACAGCATGACGCTGCCATCTATAGTCAACATGTGGGGAACAACAAAAACAACAACAATTTTAAATGAATACTTGAGTGGAGACTCACCAGTCCTATTCACTGACCTAGATCTAATGACTAAGAGATCTAGAATGAACAGATGACGATGACTACATCACCAAGCAGTATCCGGCGTCTTCGAAATGGGTGATATACCCGAAGCGTTGAGTTGTCCCAGTTGTCAGCAGACCGAGAGCGGCTGATGAGACCTGGTGAGCCGAAACAGTACTGTCTCGCTCCTGCTGACAATTGGGGCAACTCTGTGTATCCAAGATCTCTTAGTTATGAGATCTAGTTCAGTAACTTGAAAATGTCAATAGATTTCGGCTAACTTGGAACAATTAAGTATAAGATGTGGAAGTATCACATTAAAAAAACTGCTGAAGTTCATATGACTTATGTGGGAAAGTAGAAATACCTGAGAGACTATTCTCCGAACTCCATCCAAGTGTATACCTCTGAAGTCGGATTGTATGAGTAGGTGTAGTAACGAGGGTCCCATGATCTCCATGGATATGGCAGTGTGGATCCCATTGACACTCATCAGTCTGAAAGTGTCTACCATCTGAACAATATGTTTGTAACCGACATGACCAGCATTAATCAGTTTCGTTTCATTCAGCAGCTTGATTTCGTCTTGAGCAACTGCTGCGAACATTTGTGCGCTCTTGCAGATTTTTAGTGCGACATAAGTAGGACCACTGAAAATACCGGGTGAATCATTGTATAAATGGATTCAATAGGATTGGTTAATTAATTATTCCAGATTTTTTTGGGATTCTCTCACCTCGTTTCTATAAAATGAAAATATGAATACTATTTCAATATACGTGTAGTGAGGACAAATCAGATGATTTGCCCCAAAATGTCACTGCGTTCGAAGAATTTTCCTATCACAGAGCCTAAAAGAAATATGCACTTGCTTGTCAGTGACAATTTGTATTGAAAATTTTCACTTATCTTTGGACGTTTCGGGAACGAATCTGCTTCCGTTTTCAACATAAAAAAATGGATTTTTTTTTTGTGGCGAATTCGTGAAACCAAGAGATCTCTTTCAGTAACGACGAAGGAACATAAATACAATATAAAGAAAATACACATCGGCAAATCGAAACTAGCTGAACATATCCTTACTGAAGATGAACAACATATGGCTGAGTGGAATTATATTAAAATCATTGGAAAAGAAGATAACAGCCAGAAGAGAAAAATCAAGGAATCTGCTTGCATTCTTCAGAGCGGAGACAATAGCATTGCTTCCTGTTCAGTTGATATAAATAGATAGAACATGGATGGTATTCACTACTGAAATCTGAAAATGAAAATGCTAAATTTAAGATAAATTAACGAAAACATCCTGTAACTCATTTGATTACCAACGTCTCCAATTGTCACTGAGAACTGAGAAGTGTCAAGTCCAATACGAATTTGCCATACGAAAAATCCATTTTTTATGTTGAAAACGGGAGCAGATTCGTTCCCGAAACGTCCAAAGATAAGTGACAATTTGATATTCTTTCTATATACTTTTATTTCTCTTCTCCAAAACTTTTTCAATTCAAATTGTCACTGACAAGCTGAGAATTTTTCTTTTAGGCTCTCTGATAGGAAAATTCTCTAAACGCAGTGAAATTTTGGGGCAAATCATCTGATTTGTCCTCACTACACGTATATTGAAATAGTATTCATATTTTTATTTTATAGAAACGAGGAGAGAAAATCCCAAAAAAATCTGGAATAATGGATGTACCACCTCCTCAATTAACCTACAGACAGTATTTAGGATTGATTAAATTTGCTATAGTTTCATAACACAGCAGAGAAATCTCAGAACAGAAATACGAAATATTTGGTACATATATCCACTGGTCGATAATTATTCACATAGCATGTCATAAATTTACATTCTACGATATTTTCTTCCTTTGAGTTTTCTCTGACGTATTCACCTTCATCCTGATGAAACTTCTATATTGGATGATACTAGAAATGAATATTTATGTCCAGGATAAGTATACCTAGATATATTATATTGTAAGGCATGAGAGTGCTTTATGAAGAGTGGTTGCGATGATGGGGAGCTTAACAATGGGGTAGGTGAACCTAGAACCTATATATAAGTACTTACTCATCTACCAAATTCTGGCACAACCAAACAGTCGAAAAATGCCCCCATCCAAGTTTTCTGCATACTTTAAATTGTCCTTTCAAAATGTCGCCAATATTAATAGGCATATATCCCCCCGAATTGTAGTCTTTTTCATCTTCCTGACTTTCCCTATTTTCGATATATCGGATTTTTTGAATATCTTCTAGATCCAAGAGTCTGATATCTTTGGAAGGCGATCTGCAAATAGAAGTTTATTTCTAGTATATATTCACATATGTAGAATTAAACACAACTAATGCGCTTAGTAATGACTGTGGTAATGATGTGATAATATGAAAATGTATGAAATTATTGTACTGGCTGTTTCTGAATGTGAGCTAAAATAAAATTGAGTGTTATGTAAGACATAATGATACAGTGAATCGCAAGGATTTTGATTTTTCAAAATGCCTAAAGAAATATACGCCCTTAGCACCATACCACATTTTTGAACTATTATTGGACTTCTGGCAATGATGCAGAAGTCATTATCTTTAAAATTCAATATCTTTCGACTCAATTTTTGTTGACGAGCATCAACTATATTCACCTACGTCTTATTTTTTCGTCTTTTTTTACCCTTGAATTCAATATTTACCGCTCCAATTTAGGAAAAATCCTGTATATATACACAGATATACAGTACAACCAATAAAATGTTGTACAGCATGGGGATCTCGGTAATGGGAGGAGATACGAATTCGGTTGAGTGGTAAAAAAGTTGCGCATTCAGAGGAACATTCCAACGGCCTCCAAAAATTTTCAGAATTGTATATAGTTTTTCAGTTATATCGAAAAAAGTGAATTATTGGAAAATCTATTTTACACGGTGATGCGCTGAATTTCTCTACGCAACGTTTCGTCTTCGTATAACAATCAGCATCTTATTTTTTTTTAATACGGTCCTGATTATTGAAGCTTTTTTCATTCTGACCATGTATTATAAAAAGTGGTTTCAATGTCTTTCGACCTAGTTTTAGCCATCACTGTATTCCAATCGTGATACTATTTTCTTTTAAAAAGAGATAGATATATAATATACACTGTCTCATTATGGTGTCTTTTTGAAGTGAAATAGGCTCTACATAAATGTTTGATCTTCCATATTCATTTAGTTTGCTATGTACACAGTGTCTGCACATATACCTATAGAATTATTCAAATTATTGTAAAATTAATAGAAACTTGTGTGACGGCCAATTCTATTGAAAGATCATATAAATAGGTGGTCTAGTTCATTATACTTCTAGGGTTATATATTTTTCTGAAATTATTATGATCACGTATAATAATCATGATTACCTATACTGTTCTCCACACAAATCCTATGTGTAACTTACAACATTAGGTTGAAAAGTGACTGCGACTTTCCTGAGTGTCTCCATAATCTTTGTTTTGACGGTGACTTCTCAATTTTTTCGACGGAAACCTCGCAGAACCCCTCACTTCCACGGGGTACTTTCCCTCTGATTATGACTGTCAGTGTGAAAAAATACCACAACCACGACCATAACAACAACACTAACCATTCATGACAAACTAATGGATATCTGTGCCAAACTATTTCGTCTATGTGAAACTCGAGATCGTTGGGAAAAATCAAAGATTCGTTCGGAAAACACATGTCCATTGCCTTGTTTAAAAATACAATTGTGTCCTGCAAATTTGGAGAGAGATGCATCAGCTACCAATGATAAAAGATATTTCAGCGCCAATTTTCATCAACAGGAAATACATTTTCTTGGCATATTTCCACTGGAGGAATCATTGCACCGATAAAATTCCACTGAAACCTTGTATTCGAATCGATATTCGGCCGTTTTTGCACTTTGTAAATCGATTGTACTTAACCGACAATGTTGCACAACACTATCGAGAATAGTCACGGTAAAAATAGCAACCAGCTTCTATACTTAACTCAAATTATATATTTTCGACGCGTGTATTTGAAAATAGTAGTACGACTGTATACATATCTCATAATTTCTGACAGCCAATTGGGAAAGATTTAGAAGCTGCTGCCAAGTAGTTTGGGAGGTGTCTCTCTGCTATACCTGAGCAACCGCGATCCTCACCCATTTCATAAACACACAACTCACCCATCTCATCAACGCGACCCAACACATCAACGTACCCATTTCAGGACACCCAAAACAACGCATCCATTACATATTTCAATAATGACCCAACTCACGGGATAGAAGAAGTTTATATCAACACCAATTGCACCAATGATGACCCCATCGATCCAGCTCATCAACACACCCATTTCATCAGAAACAACTAAATTATTTATCAACGACACAACTCAGTCGATCTATGCATCCAGTTCATGAACACCCATCAAATAATCAATGACCTAACCCATCAACAGATCAGCGACCAAAGCATATTGTGCTTTGTGCTCGTTAAAGCACTTAGAGCACTTTTGTGCTCGTTAAAACAGTTTGTTCCCGAGCACTTGTTCAAACCAGTGCTGGGTGCTTAGGAGGAATGCTAACCACTAAGCCTCCTCAGACTTATCACTTGTCGAAACATGAAAACGTGGTCGCGTTAGAACCCCTACTCAAGAAGAACTTTTGATCGTTCCTACTGTGTTAAATTGTGTTCAAAATTCAAATTCGAAACTACACTCAGTTCCAAAAAAAGTGACGCACTTGATATTTGACCCATCTTCTTAAAAAAAATATATAGTAGATGGTCGTGGAATAACTCGAACCATGATTTATTTTCAAATATCAACACATAATGTACCAATGACCTAATTGGAAAAGAACTCTCTCGCACCCTAAGAATAAAATAAAAAAAATATTAACGTGTATCTAACTGTAAATATGAATTCTATCTCTCGCAAATCGCTGAAGGATCCAAGATAATATTGAAGTCATCACTTATACAGGGTGATTCATATTCTCAATTTCAAATTCGCTAATATGTCGACAATTTGTTTAATATATTTATGTCCAAGAAAATGTTTAGCAGAACCGCTAAAAATCAGATATAATTAATTTCTAATAACCTATGTCATTGAACAACAACTTGTGTGGAAGTTGTTGTTTGATGCCTATGTACAGGGTGGTGAATTAGTATTATTGGTATTACTCATCAGATGAAAACTCCAGTGGCGCTGTTAGGGGTAGATACATACATCTATATATCAATATACTTTTTACGAAAAAAATTGGTGGCGATGAATGTTTTCTAATAGATTACCCGATGATCAGAATATAGAAATCAGTGATATATATCATTATGAAAAGAGAATTCGTCAAGTCAACGTCAATAAAAAAATTTGTAAATATGATCTTGCATACATCAAAACCCTCTCAGTTGCTTGAACATAAAGCGATTCTGAACTTATGTTTATACAAACTTCTATATATCCCTGATGGAATTAATATAAGTCGTATATTATAAACATTCTATAAAAATCAATCACCCTTGATATCGAAAAATCAAGTCATATTTATTTTGAACCTTCAAATCATTGGAAATGTACTAGATATAAACGAAATGACTCAGTGCTGCCAGGGGGGGGAGGGAAATCTTCGATCATAAATTAACTTTTCCAAATTGAAATATCCAGTACAATGTGGTTTCGTTCTGGTCAGCGAAGTTCTTAGAGTTTAGTTTCTGTAATATTTGTAAACCGCTTACCATGCGAAACTACCTAGGTAAGCAGTGCTGCGAGGTATAGCGCCGGTCATTTCCATTGCAGAAATTTGCAAACTTAGCATCGATTTCGAATATAAATAGTACCCGACTAGATAAGGCATGGCATTGATTATTAATTTACTCATGATTCAATAACTCCAATTCATTTATTCGTCATTCATTACATGCTCGGTATTTGATTTTCTAAATTGAGTTAGTAATTCACGAGTTGTTGTCAAAATGTACGCTGTCTCCCCAACATCGATCCTACTGGTCAGTCCCTTGCTAGACGTCATAATGTAAGTACTATTTTTCATGTGTTTTCTCTGAATTAGTTTGTGTTGTGTTTTATTTGGCAATTCACTATAGTTTTTCTCTGCTAACCTGCCATGTGACAGCATTTACTCATGACTGCCTTGACTCTTTATTTGGGGATGAATATGGTTGGATGGTGAAATGATCAAAAACCTCTCATCAAGTCAAAAGGCCAAGCGAGTAGCTAAGTTACGACCCATAGGAGGGTGGACATTCTGAGTTGAGACACTTGGTGGAGGCACCGTTTGTTCTCAATAATGACATATAACATGCACTAGAACCATCTGAGTTGCGACAATACTTACAGAGATGGACATTCTCGCAGTGAGTAATCATTCCTAGATCCAGGAGGTGATAGGGACAACGACAAAAAGTCTGTGCGATCCTTGTCGTTGCACCTATATTTGTGTCTGCCCTTGTTGAATTCGAATTCAAGATTCGAAGACGCCAAGTCATCGGACGGAGATTTGGAACTGCTGTACAACCAAGGACGTTGGTCCCTGCCATCCCTATCGTCCCTAAGGTCATCGACGTTCCTGTCTTTAGGGGGATGGAACGCCTCAACCGATGACCTATATTTTTCATTTTCGAAGTAGCTCTTCTGAAGCGAGTATTTCTTACAGTAACTATCGAAGGACACTGATTGCTGATCCTGGAAGGACACCTTCGACTTGAAGGTGTGAATCGTGTCGGAAGAAGCGTAAATTCCCGATCTACCGGAGGCGGAATGCCCGCCTCTGCCCCTGCTGTTTGATCTCGAAGGCGGTTGTAAAGTGGGCACCTCCGGAGCCAGAATGATGATTGTTTGGACCACGAGTTTTCGACAAAGCTTTCGGATAACACAGCACTATCTTGTTTAGCGTCGTTGAACACTGTTGATGTATAAATCATAATTAAATTTGAGAATAGTCTTGTGATATGTATCGGTGCGCGACATGGGAGAATGCAGGCACCCGGACTACACAAGGATCAGGAAGGCGCATGTGCCATCCAGAATTCGTCGATATTTTCTGGAATGAATTGGGTCTAGAATGCCTAGATGGATAGAGGAATCACTTGCGGATTATTGCCATGGTTACGCTGATATGAAATTGGCGATAGGTAGGTACCATCAAGGGTTCGAGTCCTTTACACTTAACACTTTACAGGGTGTTTCTGAACTCAAGCGAAATCCCAAGACAAAAATAAAAGAAAAAGTTCGTATCCGAACATTCTCTTCAGGGAGCAGCAGCATCTATTGGGCAACTGAGAATAGTATTCAGTGGCGTTACTAGAATTTTTCGGCCCGCAAAATACACACACTGGCACAATTAGGGGAACGGGTAAAATTTACACTAAGTTTGACATCAATTTTCTCTCGAACCGATCACTCGATTCAAATTTGTTTTTCACGAATTATAGTTTCATTCTACACGAATACATCTGAGAAATAACCACCTCCAAACGATTCGTCTTTATATCATATACAGGGGTGTAAAGAAAGTACGGATTTTTCGGTATTCTTTGAGACATCCTGTGGAGTGAACCACTGATAATTGAAACGATTTTCCAACACCAAATTATAGCCCAATCTATCCCGAATATTTTCGTTTTTTATTCATCTTGATATCCCAATTATCCAAGAAAATATAGAGTTTCAAAGAAGAGGTGGATATTGGTATTAATTTTACCACCTCGAAACTCGAACTGGGGAGAACGTGTCGTGATTTTTACTTCAAGATGAGAATTGTTCACAGTTTTACCTATCGGTTTACTGTTTAAAGACACATATACGAATACTCTCATGAATATGCAGGGGTGATAAAAGTTGCTCCAATGTTCTTTTGGTAAAATGCTATTTTTGTTTAATCAACGTTGGCTCTTTTGTTAATGTCATTGATTATTGTCAAAGCGATTCACCATTCATAAATTTGATTAATGAAAATTCAACGTGAGAGATTTGACTCCTACTGATGTGGCGAGGGCTGTAGCATTAATTGAAAATGACCAGTGGGCCAATGTTCTTTTGACATATGAGAGCCGCATCTGCACCAATTCAATAGATGGCAGGGAAAGACTATATCGCCGAGGTGAACAAAATGAACATTTTGATTTTACTGCTTCTGTGTCCTATGGCAGAGGTCATGATTAGGTCAGGTTAGTCAAGAGAGGACACATTTTCAGATCCAATTCGAGGTTTGAGGTGTAAAATTGATACCAATATCCACCTTTCCTTTGAAACTCTGTATTTTCTTGAATAATTGAGATATCAAGATGAATAAAAAACGAAAATATTCGGAATAGATTGGGCTGTGTGTGTACATGAAGAGGCCTCTTTTTCAGTATCGAATAACAAATCGTGATTAGAAATAAACCAACGAGATGAACGAGCTTTATTAATTTTATTTTACATATAAGTCCTTCAAATTAAAAGAAACATTTGATATAACTCAAGTTTAAAATAGTTCGTCGATAAAACTTCGAAAATCTTCAACTTCAATCCAACTAAACTTATTGAACGCTAAGCTGATTTTTGTCTTGCTTCACACGACATCTCAAGTTCATTAATTGAATCTTCAAGAACAAAACTAACATTAAAAAATTATGCAAGTGTCATCGTTCAGAAGATTTTGTTTTCAAATTCTGATCGTGTGTGTTCAATAAATGTAATTCAATGTTCGTCGTGGCATATAGCCAGGAAAGTAGTTGTTTTCTGTTGAATAAACCGAGAAAGAATTAATACTTTCATCAAATGGAGAATGCGAATTCTCAATGTATTTCTTTATATATATATCAATTTTTTTTGTGTTCATAAATATATCTGAGAATATTCCTTTTATGACGTAGAAACCTCATCTCGCCATAGTTAAAAGAAAATACCAAACGCCCGA